GGGTGGGGCTGGGCCTTATCCGTGGGCCGGATGAAAGTCACCTAGCCCATGGGCCGCCAGTGGAATAATCCTGATCTACATGATTTCTTTAATTTCCATTTTTTGTTAAACTCTGTTAAAACTTTTAGTTAGTCTCACATCTTCTCCTTTACTAAAAAAATCTTACATTAACAATAGTATGATAATAAATATGATATAATAATATGCATAGGATAAACACTCACGACGCCAGCTTCTGGGTTCCGTTTGCGTCCGTTGCTGAATGTCGATGCCAAGGTGGAGGAGCAGCTCTCGTCGTACAGAGCCGTCCGCCCATCGTTGATGGCGGAGTTGATGGAGATCGTCCACATGCTTGATGCATATCCGTCACAGTTACAGTCATCGTAGCTGCCGCCATCTCCAGACGCCCAGACGTAGATGCTGCCTTTCCCTCCACGCCCCTAAAACAATATTATCACACAGGCAGTGAAGTGAAAACATATAGCAGCCTCGGCTTATTTCTCCTGGGATTTACACAGCAGAAATCCTAAATGGGAATAAGGGAGTTTAATCTGACTGTAATTAAACAATAGGTATCAGTGTGTGCTATTTGCGTTTGTCTTTGAAGTGGTTCAAATTGGTCTCCTCTGTGCAGTTTTAAATTGCTCATGCACTAAAATCCAATCAGAAGTCTCTTGTCACCAGGTGGTGGTTTTCTGATTGTTCCTGGAATAATTGCTTTTAGCCTCTTYGGTCCCGCTCTGTGGAACAAACTGCCTGTTCACACACTACCTAATGAGATCTGTCACAACTGTAGTCACATTCCAAAACACAGCATTAACACACACCAAAGCAGAAAGTGCAGATCTAAATTAGTCTGCCACCTTCAAAAGTAAAGAGACATAAAAATAAAATGTTAAATGCATTTAATGTCAACATTTTTGAGTTCCACTTGATTAGTATTATTACTATTACATTCAAAAAGGAACATCATAACTGTGATTTCTCATTATTTGTTTTTTTGTGACAGACTTGCAGGACAAGTTGAACATTCCAGCTAAATATATAAATATATAAAGCAGATATATGATAGCAACATTATTAACATTTTGTTTTATTTCATTAATTATCTACACAGAAAACACTGTATGTCAAATATGGACAAATAAAAAAAAATCTGTTACTTATATTTTCAAATTTTGTGCAAAAGAAAAAGTAACTTATTGAGCTACAAGGCCGAGGAAAGTATGGATGCAGGTGGTGCTGCAGCAACCCTGATGGATGCTATAAGGCAGAGCTATTCAACTGGCGGCCCGCGGGCCACCAAAATGTGAGTGACCAACATGCAGCCCACTAATTGGTTCATACATCTCTTAAACCCAAACCCCCATTTTCTACTTTAATTACTTTGAATTCCTCTAGATAAACATAGACATGTTTGGTATCTACAGAAATATCAGAATCTTGGCTACAAGTTGGTAAAAACCATTTCCATGAACATCCAAGATGGCTAAAACTACAAGCAGTTGAAAATAAAACTGTGAAAGTGACAATAAAATTGGTTTAAAAATTGTCAAGTCAGGGATGTCAAATGTTATTTGTGTTAAATAGGAGGAAGAATGTGTTCTTTTTGTTTTTGATATTGTTTTATTATCACTACTTTTATTGCATAAGTTTAAGTTTCAAGTTTATTTTATTTATATAGCGCCAACATACGTTGTCTCAGGGCAC